TGAATGTAAAATATCTCATGATCACACAGATACACACAAAGAGAAGAAACCAAAAATAGGTAAACCAATTCATGACGAGTGTGCTCATATCTTACATAGGAAGTTAGGACATGCAAGTTTTCCTGTAGTACAAAAAATGACTGAACACGCAGAAGGTGTCAAAATAAAAAATTGTGAAAATTATTTGGAATGCTCAGTATGTAAATCTACTAAACTAAAAACTAGTCCCAGGCCAAAAAAATCCACCAGATCAACTAACAAAATTTTTGACTTAGTACACATGGACTTAGTTGGCCCATTAACTCCATCAATCACTTATAGAAAACGTTACTTCCTAACAATAGTAGACGATTACAGTCGCTATGGTTTTGTTTACACATTAAAACACAAGGATGAAACCTTTCAAAAATTTAAGGAATTTTACAAACGCATAGAAACACAACATAATATCAGAATAAAACAAATTATGACAGATAGGGGATGTGAATTCATGTCTAAAGAATTCTCCCAATGGTTAAAGGATAGAGGAATGCTACATTACACGTCTAGTCCATTTTCTGCGTTCCAGAACGGGATTGCAGAGAGAAAGAATTCCACATTACAAACCATGATTAGGTGCACATTAGAGGATGCTGGTTTAGGCAAACAATTTTGGTCAGAAGCCCTACATTATTCAAATTACACTCAAAATAGAACCTGGTCCAGTATTGTGAATAAGACACCATATGAGGTGATGTATAATAGGAAACCAAAATTAGCACACATGCACATATTTGGGGTCACTGCAGACGTACACATACCTAAACAGTTGAGAAGAAAGGGAGAAAACGTATCCAGAAGACTAAGATTTATGGGATATGAAACTGGCACCAAAGGGTACAGATTCATTGATAATAATAACAAATTTATAGTTTCCAGAACAGCTGTGTTCCATGAACAGGCCAACTGGTCTAAATTACATCTTAATGAAATATTTCCAAATAAATGCAAAGATACAAAATCTCGTGAGGAAGGGACAATAGAAAATCAAAATGTCAACAAAAATAAAAACAAAACCAAAACATGGACAAATAGTCAACACAAAATAAAGACAGACACATTAACAAAAAAGGAAGCAAGATATTTGCATGACTACCATAGCAAACCAGAAAGAGCTATTAGGAACAACAGAAATCAAATACCAAATAAATACAGAGATTACATAATGCATATGGATGGTGAACAAATAACACCTAATACATATGAGGAAGTATTAAAACTCCCTCGTGAAGAAAAGGAAAAATGGGAACTAGCTATGAAAAAAGAGATGGAAAGTTTGCAAGGATTAAATGTATACACACCTGCGATTGCACCTAAAGATAAAACAATTATTGGTACCAGGTGGATTTATAAAATTAAGAACCTAGAAGGAGGCAATACCTTATACAAAGCTAGATTGGTTGCACAAGGTTATGCACAAAAATATCCGGAGGACTATACTGACACGTACTCCCCCACAGTAAGAACAGAGAGTGTTAAAACAGCTCTAGTAGTAGCATCCGCACTCAATCTTGATGTATTTCAATATGACATACAGACTGCGTACCTACACGCAAAACTAGATAAGGAAATATATGTAAGAGCACCTCACAGTCAATACACTAATAAAAATGAAATTTGGCTATTGAACAAGAGTTTATACGGATTAAAGCAATCTGGCAAAAGATGGTACGATTGCTTGGTAAAAGTACTTAAGACCATGGATTTCAACGCTACCACTGCTGATAACTGTTTCTTTGTCAAAAAGAGTGATGATCACATTGAATTTGTATTGATTTATGTAGATGATATTTTATATATAGGAAAACACAAAGAGAGAAGAGAAATCTTTGTAAACAAGCTAAATGAACATTTCTCGTTGAAATCTCTAGGTAAAGTAAACAAATACCTTGGTGTACAAATTAACAAAACTAGAAGGGGATTCAAACTTACTCAGAAAGATAAGATTATTGAACTTCTAAACAAATGTAATTTAAACAATGCCAAACCCTGTGACACTCCTATGCAAACTGATTTCCTTAGAAATACTGATGAATCTTCCCCTGAATTCAAGGATAATACATTTTATAGATCAGTCATAGGTTCACTTCTTTATATATCTAATTGGACTAGGCCAGATATTGCATTACCACTCAATTTATTATCAAGGCACGTTAGCAAACCAACAATGTATCACTGGGAAGCTGTCAAAAGAATTTTAAGATATCTGAAAAGTACATTAGACTTTTGCCTAGTATTAGAACCTAGTGATAATAAAGAACCAAAACTTACATGTTACGCAGATGCGGATTGGGCTGGAGATATATCATGCAGAAAAAGTACTTCTGGTTATATTTTTCTGTTAAATGACTGTCCAGTTTACTGGTACACTGGTAAACAAGAACTGGTAGCCACTTCAACCACAGAAGCGGAATATGTTTGTTTATCCAAAGCTGCAAATAACCTTGTATGGTTTAATGATTTAATTTCAGATGTTTGGAAAAAACCTGCTTTGCCTTTTGTTATGCATGAAGACAATAAAGCAGCCATTGAAATATCTAGATCCGACGCCATTGGACAAAGATCCAGGCATATAGATATAAAATTTAAGCATGTGAGACAATTGTCTCAAGATGGATTTATCAAAGCAGTGCATTGTGATACCTCTGAACAATTAGCTGACATATTGACAAAGCCTTTACCTTCTAAACAGCACAAATACTTAACTTCCAAACTGTATGTCTTATATTGTCCTGAATCTGAATGTAATTGGTGTTGTATAGCGAACCGGCATTTAGAGGGGGATTTATCAGATGTAAATGCCTTATTCCCTAATGTGTAAATAATGTATATATGGGATATCAGGGGTTAACTTATTCTTTGACTCTTAATGTATTCATAATTCACCACTCCCACTCTTGGCTCCACCCTTTGTATATATAAGGAGCCACCTTCACCATTTTCTTTGCTTCTATCTGTGAATATTCAGTGAATATAGAATGCCTATTATAATTAAAGAGAAATATATTTAAACCTCTAACTCTCATTATTATTATTGAGTCTGATCCTAAAAATATTGCAACAGGTCCAAACCGGGGGCAACCCACCACTCAACTGTAAGGTAGGTACCAGCCAGGATTTGAACCTTGGTCTCCCGCACCTAAGGCGGTTGGACAAGCATTTGTCTGAAGTGGTACAGGGTTGGAGGTTGGATTAGAAGACATCCAAGGTCCCTTCCAACTCTTTTATTCTGTTAAAGACGACGTCCTAACCACTATGCCAATCAGTTGCTGTTAGGGCTCTTGCTCCCCCAGTGGCACAAGAGATGCCCACCTCAGACCAGCACCCTTCGTTCCCTCCTTGAGATGTGCTCAACTACCATTTCAATTTGTATTTAATTTGGTAGAGTAGCTTTGCACCGGACCACAGATGCAAATTGAAATGGTAGCTGCCTTCTATTGAATAGAAAAATCTCAAGGCAGCAGAAGGTCAAGAGCACAGTAGTAGTAGCTCGTAGTAGTAGTTACTCACAGTAGTCAGAGAGGACTAATCCAGGGTCTCCTCAGAGCCTGGAGACGAAATTGGGAAGACCCCCCATGTGACACACTGCATTTGGCATTACTAATTACTTAATTATTGTACGCTGCAGGGGTGGGTTCTAAATTTTTTTACTACCGGTTCTGTGGGCGTGGCTTATTTTGTGGGCATGGCTTGATGGCCATGTGACAATTATTTAGGATTTAGCAGAGGTACTGGTCTACCAGGCTTTTCACTGCTTGCAGAGCTGTACTCATTTATTTTTGCAGGCACTGGTCTACCCATTTATTTTTGCAGGCACTGGTCTACTCATTTGTTTTTGGAGGCACCGGTCTACTCATTTATTTTTGCAGGCACTGGTCTACTCATTTGTTTTTGGAGGCACTGGTCTACCCATTTATTTTTGCAGGCACTGGTCTACTCATTTGTTTTTGCAGGCACTGGTCTACTCATTTATTTTTGCAGGCACTGGTCTACTCATTTGTTTTTGGAGGCACTGGTCTACCCATTTGTTTTTGGAGGCACCGGTCTACCAGCACACTGCCTTTTACCACTGATCAGCTGTAGGGCGGCCCTTTGAGTTTAAACAGCTTTTTTCCTTCTAGCCGATCAGCTGGGACTCAGGAGGCAGCAATAGATTGGGGGTGGGGCCAAATAAAAGGTAAGAATAATGTGGGGGGGCTGGGGGGCAGAACCAGTTCGGTGACGTCATATCGTCACCGCTAACAGCTCGGCGGAACCGGGCTGAACCAGGAGGAACCCACCACCGGTACGCTGCCTAGAAACGCCTTTAGTCGAGATGCGGGGCGCGTAAGTTTAATAGATGACTATACCAATAAAATAAAAGTCATGGAAAAGTCTGAAGCAACCTGCCTTGGTTACACATTCTTAATTCTGCCCACAAACTCAACCCACAGGTAGCCCTCGACGTACAACCGCCATGGAGATTAAAATTCCCATATGCCAAGCAAGGCCATTCTTAAGCTAGCCGTGCCCCCCCCCCTTCTTTTTTTGCCACGGTTGCAAAGCGAATCACGTGGCCGTCAAGCGAATCCGCTTTCCCTCGCTGACTTTGCTTGTGGCAAGCCGTCTGGGAAGGTCACAAACGGGGATCGCGTGACAACTCCCCACCCCCGGGACAGCGCAACCGTCATAAATACGGGCCGGTTGCCAAGCATCCGAATTTCGATCGCGTGACCCCGCCACACGGTCGTAAGTGTGGAAAGCGGCCGTATTTTTCAGGGCCGTTGTAACTTTGAATGGTCACTCAACGAATGGCTGCAAGTCGAGGGCTGCCTGGATTGTACGAATGTTAACGAGTGACCCGCTCCAGCGAAAGAGAAGACGAGAGATCAGGAAGGGAGGCAAATGGAGTAAAAACAGAGGCAGCCACGAAGGATCCTTTCCCGCCAATTGACACGGAGGCATGCAGGGAATCCACTCACCACGGAGCTTTGATGGAAAAGCACCCAGCTCCAAAGAGGTAAGGCCTTCACGGAAAGCAGGGGAAATGCACAAAGATTAGACGGGAGAGGTCATTTAAACAACGAGCCACCTCATCAGCTCCTTAAAATATATTTGCTTTTAGAGTTATTGCTTTCTTAAAAGGCGGGGGGGAGGCATGCCACCCCTTCCCACCCCTTACTCACCTGCAAAACAGAATGGGACAATTTGCCACGGCCAACTCTCGCCGCGAGACAATTCCAACAATTCAGGACAATTTATGAGCCGCGGTGGCGCAGTGGTTAGAGTGCAGTGCTGCAGGGCTACTTCTGCTGACTGACTGCAATTTGGCAGTTCGATTCTCACTAGGCTCAAGGTCGACTCAGCCTTCCATCCTTTCTCAGGTTGTCAAATGAGGACCCAAATTGCTGGGGCAGCAATAGGCTGACTCTGTAAACCGCTTAGAGAGGGCTGTAAAGCACTGTGAAGCGGTATATAAGTCTTAAGTGCTGTTGCCAATTCTTTTTTTTAATTATTTAAAATAATATTAAAATACAGGTAGTATTATTACAACTCGCCATGGGACAAAAGTTGACTCAGCCTTCCATCCTTTCTAAGGTAGGTTAAATGAGGACCCAGTTTGTGGGGGCAATAAGCTGACTTTGTATAAATATACAAAAGGATGAAGGCTATTGCTGAGCACATTGTAAGCCGCCCTGAGTCTCCGGAGAAGGGCGGCATATAAATCAAATTAAAAAAAAAAAAAAAAGTTACGCTGATACCAGCGTCCTTGACTTAACAACCATCCATTTAGTGACTGTTGAAAGTTACAAGGGGGCTGAAAAAAAAGAGACCTAGGACTGTTTATTCACACTTATGACCACTGCAGCATCCCCATGCTCACTTGATCAAAATTCAGACGCTTGGCAACTGGCATGTACTTATGACGGTTGAAGAATCCAGGTGTCACGTGATCCCCTTTTGCGGACTTTCTGTCAAGCAAACTCAATGGGGAAGCCAGATTCACTTAACAACCGTGTTTACTAAATGAACAGCTGCAGTGGCTCGCTTAACAACTGTGGCAAGAAAGGTCGCTAAATGGGGCAAAACTCATTTAACAAACTGTCTCACTTGGCAACATCAATTTTGGGCTCAATTGTGGTCGTAAGTCGAGGACTAGCTATATTTTAAGTTTTGTCATTCGTATTTCATTTTGTCCCTCCTTTGGCATCCTTTCTTTCCCGATTCTGTTCCATCATTTCTTGATACAGGTAGTCCTCGACTTACAACCACAATTGAGCCCAAAATTTCTGTGGCTAAGCAAGACACTTGTTGAGTGAACTTTGCCCCCAATTTACGACTTTCCTTGCCACATTTGTTAAGTGAATCACTGAAGTTATTAAATTAGTCACACGGTTGTTAAGTGAATCGGGCTTCCCCATCGACTTTGCTTATCAGAAGGTCGCAAAAGGGGAATCACGTAACCCCGAGACTCTGCAACCGTCGTTAAGTATGAACCAGTTGTCAAGTATCTGAATGTAAATCACATGACCATGGGGATGGTGCAACGGTCGTAAGTGTGAAAAATGTTCCTAAGTCACTTTTTTTCAGTGCCGTTGCAACTCTGAACAGTCGCTAAATGAACGGTTGTAATTCGAGGACCACCTGCATTAGTGAAACTCTTGTCCCATGGCAAGTTATCCCTTGGCAAGTTGGCTGTGGCAAGTTGTCCTCGACCCCCCCACAAAAGACCCAGAACTTAGGGAGGTGGGGGGAAATCACAGCACAGGTGCTAATGAAAATAACTGTTCATCCTTTCCAAAATGCATACAATATTTTCTTCTCTTGTCTTCCTGATATTACTTACTTTAAAAGGGAAGAGCCCAAAGTCCGAACTGTATTATTTGCTCGAAACGCCACAGAAATAACATGTCATTGAAAATAAAAACCTTCAAATATAAAAATCACTGGTATCACTTCTCCTACTGGTAGGAGAAATGGCTAAGCCTGAATCCTTTTCGCCTGACACCTGGTCTACCCCAACATGTGGGTGGGGGCATTCTGCATCCCTTTCGCCTTACAGCTCCAATCCAGGAGCCCTCAAGCAGTCACATTCACGACAAACCATTTTATACCAAATTTATATTTTGCTGATAAAAGAAATAAAGGGAGACTAGTATTGATCTATTTCAAGCTTTTTAGCTCTCATCAGCTAGCCATACCCTTGCTCGGATTCGAACTTGGGCTTCCTGCATGCTAGGCAGTTGAATTAACCTTCTGAGCCACAAGTTCTCCTCCCTTCATCAGCTTGAGCTGGGGGAAAGATTAAGTGTTTGTTTTTCTATCGAGACACCTGGTCTGCCCCAACATGTGGGAGGGGGCATTCTGCTCCCTTTTGCATTTCAGCTCCAATCCAGGAGCCCTCAAGGAATATATGTTCGAATCCCAGAAAGGGTATGGCTAGCTGATGAGAGCTAAATAGCTTGAAATAAAGAAATAAAGTCTCCCTTTATTTCTTTATCAGCAAAATATAAATTTGGTATAAAATGGTTTGTCGTGAATGCGACTGCTTGAGGGCTCCTGGATTGGAGCTGAAAGGCAAAAGGGATGCAGTATGCTCCTTTCCACATGCTGGGGTAGACCAGGTGTCTCGATAGAAAAACACTTAATATATGTACGTATGTATGTGTATGTATGTATGTATGTATGTATGTATGTATGTATTATACACACACACACACACATATATAAACATATATATAGTATACATATACATACATATATGTGTGTGTGTGTGTGTGTGTGTGTGTGTGTGTGTGTGTGTGTGTGTGTGTATGTGTATATATATATATATATATAGGTCTTTGGTTATTCGGGGTCTTCTCCCACGTAAAATTGGAAGTGTCTTGGCGACGTTTCGACGAAGTCTCATTCGTCAACTTCAGGCTGGTGTTCTTGGCTTTGTGCTTCCAGGAGCAATGTGAGATCGCAGCTGTCTCTTCCTTTTAACTGCGACCTCACATTGCTCCTGGAAGCACGAAGCCAAGAACACCAGCCTGAAGTTGACGAATGAGACTTTGTCGAAACGTCGCCAAGACACTTCCAATTTTACGTGGGAGAAGACCCGAATAACCAAAGACCTACATACAAACACCCGCGAAAACCTGAGAAAATATATGTATATATATATATATATATATGTGTGTGTGTGTGTGTGTGTGTGTGTGTGTGTGTGTGTGTGTGTATACATACATACATACATACATACATACACATACATACACACACATACCCTGTAGGAGAACCTGGGATGCAATGCATTCCCACGGACACTGGAGGAAAGCAACAGATACGCAGGTAATCCTCGACACAAAACCATTCGTTTACTGACCGTTCGGAGTTACAATGGCACCGAAAAAAGTGACTTCTGACCAGTTTTTCACACTTAGGACCGTTGCGGCATCCCCGTGGTCACATGATCAAAATTCAGACACTTGGCAACTGGCATGTACTTGCGACAATTGCAGTGTCCCTGGGTGTCACGAGATCCCCCTTTTGCAACCTTCAGACAAGCAAAGTCAATGGGGGAGCCAGATTCGCTTAACGACCGCATGACTAACTTCACAACTGCATCGATTCGCTTCACAAAGCGTGGCAAGAAAGGTCATAAAACGGGGCAAACCTCCCTGAACGACGGTCTCGCTTTAGCAATGGAAAATTTGGGCTCAGTTTTGGTTGTTAAGTTGAGTACTACCTATGTATACAATTGTATAATAAAGGCATTTCCTGGGCCTTACTGCCCATTAATGATGCCTAACTTTGTAGCCCAACCTGTTGTTTAAAGCAGGAGTCCCCAACCTTGGCAACTTTAAGACTTGTGGACTTCAACTCCCAGCATTCCTCAGCCAGGGGTCCCCAACCTTGGCAACTTTAAGACTTGTGGACTTCAACTCCCAGAATTCCTCAGCCAGGGGTCCCCAACCTTGGCAACTTTAAGACTTGTGGACTTCAACTCCCAGAATTCTCCAGTCAGTATGATTAGGCTTAATGGTGGCTGAGGAATTCTGGGCGTTGAAGTCCACAAGTCTTAAAGTTGCCAAGGTTGGGGACCCCTGCTTTAAAGCCCTGGATCGCCACCGGGCTGCGGCATGTCAGAAACCGGTCCGCACAAACAAGCAAAGCCCCATCTGCGGGATGTAGGCAGCCCGCGAAACTACAAACCCCTCCGATCCACGGAAAAATCTCTCTCCACAGAACCGGTCCCTGGTGTCCAGAAGATTTGGGGCCGGTAGTAAAGGTAAGTAGAACCTACCCCTGCATCTGTACATAGGCACAGGTGAGCGAGGCAAAATCTCACTTGAATGCCGTTGAACTTTATCTAGTCTAGCCTAGGTGCTGACCACTAGTCTAGGAAGATTCCGGTAAAATGGGCATGAATAATAAAATCGCTAATGGAGCTTTTCACGTGTGGATCTGGTTGTTTGTGTTTCACAGGTAGAATTCTGGGAGTTGAAGTCCACCCCTCTTAAAACGGCCAGGGTTGAGAAACATTGGTATAGATCCGTGATGGCGAACGTATGGCACATGTGCCATAGGTGGCATGTGGAGCCATATCTGTGGGCACGCGAGCGTTGCCCTAGCTCAGCTCCAGTGCGCATGCACGCGCCGGCCAGCTGATTTTCGGGCCTTCTGGTCCCACCAGAAGTCGGGAAACGGGATGTTTCCGGCATCCGGAGGGCCTCCGGGGGCGTGGGGAAGGCCGTTTTCGCCCTCCCCAGGCTCCAAGAAAGCCTCTGGAGCCTGGGGAGGACGAAAAACGGGCCTTCCTGGCCCACCGTGCCATCGCATGCCAAAAGCGTTGGGAGTGTTGGGAGAGGGTCATGCGCGCATGCGTGGGGAGACGGGGGCGGATTTAATTATGGGTGTGGGCACGCACATAGTTATAGTTAGTTATAGTTTATTATATTTATATACCGCCCCCTCTCCCGAGGGACTCGGGGCGGTGAACAGCCAGCAAATAAAATACACAGATACAAAATTTAAAACA